CGTTCTTCAGGCCCTGTAGAGATACTGTTGCATGACAGGAAATGGCTGCACCAGAGGGCTGGTAACAGAAGGCTTTGGGAGTCAGCACCGCCACGTTTCCTCATTGACAGGTGAGTATCCTGTTCTGTGCAGTCTCAGACTTGGACTTGGGAAGCAAGAGGGCCTGTCCACAGCTCTGGGACAGCTACTTGCAGTAGGACCAGAGGCAAGAGGGGCAGGACCAGCAACAGAATTTGCAGGGCCCAGTGCAACCCAACCTTTTGTTCAAAAACTATTAAAAATTTTGACAGGGTGACAGCAGAGGCTTAAGCCAAGTTGGGGGACCCTTGTGAACATGGGTCACATGCCCACAAAGCCGCCCTGAAGTGGGGGTCTAGGGAAAGTAAGCAAAGGATGAGGCTACATGAAGGGCAGCCACAGTGTCCTCCTCTGGCCGAATGATCTCCTGACCAAAACAGAAAGAACCGGTCAACATACAGTAATCCTGCACCACGCTCAACATTTCCTAGATGCACAGTGCACTCCGCTGAGGCAACTGTAGGTTTTCCAAATGTCAAGTCCACCTCGGCCAACCAGCATTCTCAGAGAGTCCAGGTCTTGCCTTATTTGGAGGACGGAGGGCATTTTAATCTCATCTCTGTCTTGGGGGAGCTCAAAATGCTGGGAAAGATGTCATACTTGGAGACCATCTGGGAAAAAGGCATCTGGAGCTGTTCCTTTAATTTACAGAACTGACAACCAAGGATGGCAAGTACAAAGGGTGATGGCCCAGAAAAGAATCAAAGTATTAATAACGAGCTCAGCCGGCACTGTCCTTCAGTCCCCCGCCCTGGGGTTCATGTGCTGGGAAGCCTGATGTCTCTGTTTCAGCAGTGAGATCAAAACCAGCTTTCAGAGCAACATAAGCCAGGGGTAATTTTTAGCACAGACGTAACTTTCTAGTTCCTTTTTCCTACCCCTCATTTTTCAGTTGCCTTTAAAGAGGCCGCAAAGAGCTGAAAAACAAATCCAAGTTTAAAGAGACAAGTGCAAAAATGCAAACTGGGCAAGGGGACAGAGCCACCAGCTGGACAAAATGTGCCTGGAAAATAGCATCCTCTGCCTGGCAGGTGCTGGGGATTTATGGTCGAATTTTGCAGACGTTTCATCACGTTATGAGCCAGCTCAGGAGACCCTCATAAAACTCTGCTTATATGAAAGAACAAACTAGCTGATAAAAGTCAGCTGCTGCCTATAAACGCGCTGTGGGGATTGCAATGGAGTGGTGGATTTATTAGCCGGCACTCTTTGTGCAAATAAAGAGCTACTGCGCATATGAATTGGGAGGAGAAGAGCCCGCACAGAGGGTCGCTTCCTGCTCACGTGACAGCAAACAGGCTGTGCTGACCCCTTGCCCATTACTTACTCCATTAGAATCCAGAGGGGAGCTTCTCGCTGAAATTAGGTTGCTAGGGATGTACTCTTACATCCCTGTTTCTTGCCTCCTACAAAATCCAACGGGAAGAATCAGTCTCTCTGCATCCACTGCCGTCCCTGCACATCCTTTAGGACAGCACATCTCATCATGGGCTGATGTATCTGTCTGGCCTACTAAATTGGGTACTTCCCTTATTTCCCTTTGTATTACCAGTAATTCGTTCTGTGCTGGGCCCACAGGGAGGCCTCTGAATGGCTATGGATGCAGCAGACTGTGTGGTGCCATATATACAAGTTCTTAGTATCCCTCTCCAAATGGCAGGAAGGGGCTGGGGTAGCTGGGGCCTAGTTAGGGCTGGGAGGCGACGACAGGTGACGACGAGGTGCCATGAGGATGTTATGAAGGCTAGTTTCCCCCGCAGAAGGTTGTCAAGGGCAACCTTTGTTGACTACCCAGATCTCTGTGCTTTTTCTCAGGATTAAGACTATTTCTTAAAGAATGCCCCTGCAACAGAGTAAGGGTTACCTGAGAAGGCAGATAGGGAGACCCCTCTCCCCACATCAAATCAGGATCTCTGAGGCGGAAGCCCCATTATGCTGTACCAGGTACCAGTCGCAGGAAAAAATGACTTTCCTTTGCATTCTATAGAAACCAAGAAAGAGCCTTCCAGGACTGATGGGGAGGAGGAGTGCCTGGAAGGGGCAGCCTGTTATTCCTTAAAGACTGCTTTCTCCTCCCAGCCCCAGCATAAAGGGCCAAAGTGTAAGACTGGCCAATGACCTCAGGACTCACTGCAGCCCCCTTGGCTATGGTATCAGAAGAGAGGGTACCTGGCAATGCTGCAGCCGTGGAGAGGGCCTTGGAAGGCTCGAGTGCCACTGCCAAACCAGATAGAGGTGGTGCACTCACCTCTGTTGGGAGGAAACCCATCCCATGCAGGGCAGGGTGAATCCAAGAAACTGCACCCCTGTCACAGATGAGTAGGTCTTAGGGATGCCTTTGCCTTACAGCAGTGTAAGGGCAAGGCTCCTTTGAGCAGAACCAAGAAAATCTGCATGCAAATTGTGGCAATGTCACAGACAAGCTCTGGGTACTGAGAAAACTATGTCCCTCAAAGCATACTTGTTTCACTGCTTGTTAGGTATGAAAGAAGATGTTACAGCTACACACTTAGTGGATGACTGATGAATCTCAAGTGAATTTCAACTCTTCAATATTTATAAATTTACTAAAAGCCCTCACAGCTCTCTTTTCACTTAAACCTTAGAACCCTGTGAGGACATATGCCATCATCTCCATTAAACAGATGGAGAAACTGACACTTGGAAAGGGGAAATGACATACCCATAGCTGGGCTAATAAGGGGCTGAGCTGAAATTTTCGAATCCCGGTCTGGGTCACCCGCAAGTCAGCAAGCTTTCCCCAATTGTCGATGCACTAGCCCTTTCCCCTCATCCCTGAACCTGCTCCTCGAAAGGAGCGCTCTCCCTATTTCTCAGGGGGAGGAATTGAACACGTTGGAGCTGGTACCTGGCCCCTCTCATGTCAACCAAAGTCAGACATGATGCAGTCACCATAAAGCCTGGACTCTCCTTGGGGAGAAAGAAGTCCTTCTCTTTAGAGTTCAGGATCCCACTGGCTTTGAAAAACCCCTATTCTTCCTGAGAGAAGAATCCTGAGGTCAATTCCTAAATGTGGGTGGGACAGAGAGAGAAAAGAAGGAAACCCGATTCTTAATTTCATCCCAAGTTTGTCTCACAGACAGAAAAGGAGGTTCTGACCACCAAGAGCCTATTTCCCTAATGGAGAGAAACAGAGAAAAGAACTCACATTTGATATCTAAACCCATAAACCAGTAGCACACTTGAAGAAGATGCACTAGATGTACTCCTACTGTGATGAGTCTCCCTAAGTTAGTTTATAAATTCAATGATCCCAGTAAAAATGCCAACAGATTTCTTTTTCAATTGAGGTGAGTGGGTGGAACAGAACTAGCTAATTGAAAAATTCCAAGGGAAGAAAGCATAATGAGCAGGGGTGGGAGTATAGGGAAACCTAACAGATATCAAGACCTTGGAAACAACCTCAGTATCCACCAGTAAGGGGCTAGTTAAATACATTATGGTACACCCATACAAGAGAAAACCATAAAACCGTTTTAGAAAAAATAAAGGATTTTATGTATTCTTACAGAACCATCTCCAAGATACAGCAAGTGGAAAAAACAATGTGCAACACTGGGTATACAGTATGCTACTATTCACATAAAATTAGGGAGAAAACACAAAAGTTTATCTGCTTGTTCTATTAGTTACCTATTGCTATGGAACAAATTACCCCAAAACTTAATGACTTCAAACTAACATTTATTATCTGTTTCCACGGGTCAGGAATCTGGGCACTGCTTAGCTGGTTGTCTTTGGCTTAGGTCCTCATGAAGTTGTAGTCAAGCTGTTATGGTCTCGTCTGAAGGCTCAACTGGGGACAGAGGCATTTCCTGCCATTCTTCCACCCCTCTATGAACTCTAGTTCAGTCTAGACTTGCTATTACCTAACTATTAACACCTGGCAGTTCTACAGGGTAAAGGCAACAGCACAATGACTGGCACACAGCATGCATCTGATACATGAAGGCTGCCTCCTTCTCGAACACTGCCTTTGCCAGCCTGTCCCCTGTGCGCGGAATGCCATGCAATCCTCTCCCAGCCCTCCCGTAAAACCAGCCTGAGGGCTTAACTCAGATGTCACTATGTGTTCCCATGAGCACCTAGTTATCGTCACCTCTATTCTCCCATGGCATTCCATTCTTTTACATACCTTTATTACTACATCACAATCTAAATCTCTCCAACTCAGTCTGGTCCTCGGATCATCAGCATCAACACCACCTGGGACCTGTTAGAAATGCAGAATCTGGAACCCTGCCCCAGACTTACAAAATCTAATCTAAATTTTAACGATACCAGTGATTTACGTGCACATTAAAGCCTGAGAAATACTGGTTTAAATCTTCCCCTGGTTGAACTACAAACCTTTCTAGAGTTTTTTTCATCTGTCCCCAGAGCACATCGTAAGACCTGATACCCAAATGGCTTTTGCATTAAGTTTTATTTACAACTATTATGTATGTGATATAATAGACCTTAAAAATTTCTGGAAGAATATACACCATATTACTAAAAAGTTATCTTCACTTTCTGTAACACCTTTTCACAAATCAGAATCTATTATCATTATAGGTAGCAAAACATGAAGATATGGAAAAATACACATAAGATACAACACATTCATAAAATAGTACATAATGCATCTTATGGTATATGACTGTACTGAATTGGATTTAGATATGAAAATATGACCAAACTATGCTAAGTTCTGTTTTTAAAAAGGCTATTTAAATAAAAGTATGTATCAATAATATATTATTTTTTAAATTTGTGAATATGGGCACTAAAAGGATACCTATAAAAATATTTCTGATGGAGCTTGTTCTACACTTAAAACTTTTTGTACAATTTTCCTGTGTATGATTTTTTTAAAAAGCACATACCACTTTTATAATGTTAAAAAGTCACTTTCCTTGAAAAAATTTACATTCTTTATTAAGTCTCTTTACATCCAATGACTCGGATTTTCACCATAGCCTAGGAAGCTGACAGGTCTGGAAGTACCACCACTTCACAGATGAAGACACTGGGCTGCAAACACAACCCTGCCCGCCTGACTCTGGGCTGCTGTTCTCCCAACTATGCAGCTACTCCAACATCAGAGGAACGTGGCAAGTCAGCTGCTAGCTTTCATTAAAAAACCCTGTCATTTAGGAGTTCCACTATCCCCAATTACTCTCAGATAGCAGCAGTACGAGCAAGAGAGGAACACCACCTTCACCACCTTCAGGCTAATTCATGCTGCACCACCTCCCCCTGCTGGTAGGCTCTGGAAGCTGACATTGTGTTCATAAGGAGCTACTGCGATCAGAAAACACTCAGGAGTCCCTGACTTAGTTTTTCCACTTAAACATGGTGTGATAATGATACGCATTCTTAGAAACCGTCCTTTGAATTCTGGCCTGTTTCCAGGCTAGCGATATGTAGTAGGCTACCTCTCCTGATACTGGGCAGGAGAAGCCACAGCTCCCAGTCACACGATCTCCAGAGTAAACAACCGATACACTTACAATCACGCTGTATCAAACCCATTCTGTTTTTCACTTTTAGTACAGTATTCAATCAATGACATGAAATATTCAACACTTTTTAGCACTTTATTTTAAAATAAACTTTGTGTTGTTAGACTTAAGCTAATTTGCCCCACTGTACATGTTCTGAGCACATTTAAGGTGGACTGGGCTGAGCTATGTTTGGTAGGTCAGTGTAGTATACACTTTTGACTCACATTGTTTTCCACTTAAGGTGGGTTTATTGGGATGTGCCCCCACTATAAGCTGAGGGAGACCTGTACTGTTTCCATCAGCATCACCCTTCTTTCTTGAAGACACTGAAGCCATTTTTTCTTTTATGAAGGAATTCAGTAGTGACACAAATACCTGAAACTAGGACCTGGCATCAACGAGGCTCAGAGCTCTGGATGATGCGGAGGGTGGTGCCGCTCTCTACCCTGTCCTTGCCTCCCCTACCACTTCTGTGGCTGCTGCTTCTGCCCCCAGTGTTCTTCCACACTGCCTTTCCTGCATTCTCTCTACCTCAAAGGGGGGTCATGTGCTCTCAGCCATGACCTGGCAAGGAAAAGCCCCAACATCAGAAGCATTAAGCACAATCCTCCCAAGAGCCAGTCCTTAGACCGTAGGCATTGAGTTGGCAAACACGTCAGGGGTCGCAATACCGCCATTACTTCAGAAACACCAGAATGCAGAAGGCCAGTCTTCAACTGCATCCCCCTAGTCTCCAGATAAACACGCAGCTTCTTTATTCTTCCAGGAAGAAGGAAACATTCAATAGGATATCTGGAATAGGAAGAGAGGAAAACTGTGGCAAACCACCTCCCCAGAGAGCACAGAACACCAAATTTATAAGAGATATGGAGGCACTGTGAAGGCATCTCTCTGATGCTGGCGAAGAAGTGAGCTGCAGGGAAGGGGAGGAGGAAGCATGAAGGAGTAAACACACACCAGCACCTTGCACAAGCTCTTGGTGTTCATCTTCCGGAAGCTGGTCCCAGGCCTTGGGCAAAGCTTGGATGTTTGCCAAGTCTCCCCACTGGATGGAGGACAGGAGGTACTTTCTCTTCAGGTACCTTCCTGGAAGTTAAGGGATGCTCAAAAAGAAAATGAAATACCTTGAGGGATAAAAATAGCCTGGAGAGAGCTATAGGAAGCTGTACAGTGAGTCAGCAACCATTACGTTTACCGGGTGGCAGGATTCGCTCATGCTACAATCGTACTGAGCACCTCTTTACTCACATGGCTCTGTGCTGGAGGGACAGAAGGAGGAAACACTGCCCCTGCAACCTAGGACCTTATCACGGTGAGGAAAAAGCCAGAAACTGCAAAGAAAGAACCTAAGTGACATGAAAGATAAAACTGACGTGCGATGTCAGAGGGTGAACACATCCAGTTTAGAGGGTAGCAGGAAGATTCCAGCTGGAACAGCTGAAGCAAAGGCACAGAAATGGGGCAGCATGGAATGGATTCAGGGACAAGTAAACCTTCCAGCTTGGCTGGCAGGGAACACTGCGCAGAGTAGGAGGAAAGGTGGCTGAGAAGGCAGGCTGAGCCGGAACACAAAGAGCACTTTAGACCAGCAAGGGGATTCTGCCCTCCTAGCAAGAGCAGCCACTGAAAACTCGTATACAAGCAGCAGGACCGGAATGGACCTCCTGAAGCTATACAGAGTGAGGCCACTAACCAGGGGTAGCTCACAGGGAAAGCCAGACAGAAACCTGTCAAGACTGTTCCTGATTGAGGGCTAAGAAGCTATGGAAGCGGCAATGGGAATAGAGAAGGAAACTATGGAAACACCAGGGACAAAGAGTCAAAGGACTTGACAAGTGACCATGTCAACATTCTCAGAACAGTGCCTGGCAGGCAGCAAGTGCTGGACGACCCGAGCCAAGCCACTGCGCCTGCTCCTGATGCACTGCTGCTATCGCAACTGAAGAAGAGAAGAGAAGGCGAGGGGGAAGGTGCTGCTGAAGTCTCCAGAGAGGGGGCTGACTAGACGGGGTTGGCTCTGCAACTAAAAAGGGAGCTGAATGTGAGGGCTAACTAGAGGGGTTCGATTTTAGATCTAAGTTTGCTGTTCCATGAGCAATCCAGATGGAAGCATCAGCAGGAAATTGAAAATCAGGACCAGAAAGAAGAATAAAGGTTGGATTTGGAAGTTAGTTAAATGAAGGCAGAAACTTAAGCCAGCAAGCAGATGCGGGATTCAGGCAAGTATCAAGAGAAAAGTGCCAAAATAAACTGGTCCCTCAGCTTCTACCCTCACCCTGCACCAACCCAAGTCTTTCCTCAGAACACAGCCAGGGTGATACTGTCAAAATTATGTTAGTCCTCTACTCAAAACATTCTGGTAGCTTTCTATCTCACACAGAGTAAAAGGCAAAATCCTTCCAAAGACCTTTGAGGCCCTACACGGTGTGGCCCTGGCCCCTGACCACAACTGGTTAGGCTCCCGCCTTCACTGTGCTCCCGCCACGCTGGCATCTTGCTATTTCTTGACTGTACAAGCATGTTCTCACCTCAGGGTCTTTGCACTTGATGTTTCTTCTGCCTGGAATGCTCTTCCCCAACATCATGTGGCTCTCTCCCTCACCCTCCTTCAGGTTTTTCCTCAAACATCACTATCTCAGTGAGGCCTGTCCTGACCACCCTATTTAAGATCACAACTTACCTCCACCCCTTACTTTCCCAGCTTTATTTTTCTCCATAACACTTATCACCACCTGGCATTCAATATATTTTCCCTTAAATGCCTATCTCCCAGCACCTACAACAATGCTTGACAGGTCATAGCTACTCAAATGATTTGAGGAAGAATCCAAATTCAGGAACCAAAGAGACCCATACTATATAGTTTCATGACCCTATGAAAACTGAAATTAAAGACTTCCTGGAACAGATCTGGACACTACCTGAAACACGTACAAAGGATACGACTTTCGATAATGTCTCTCAATATCTTGCAACCATTCCAGCATGTCAGCCACAGAGGGGCTCACAACCGAAGCTTGTAGGACAGCATCAATGCCCACCGTGTCTGCATGCTGCTCATAGATCTGAAGCACTCGCTCCACATGGCTGCTGACCGTGTCACGCACCTTGAGGAGAGTGTTTCTGGGGGAAAGAATCTGGTATTAGGCAATATCATGAGAAAGGCCTAAGACAAGGGCCCTTAACCTCGGCACACTGACATTTTGGACTGGTAACGTTTTATGGTAGAGGGCTGCCCTGGGCACTGTAGGATATAGAGCAGCATCTCTGGCCTCTACCCACAGGATGCCAGAAGCAAATCACACCCTCCCTCTCCCCAAGTTGTGACAACCAGTGAAGTCTCAGATACTGCCAAATGTCCCAACAGGAAAAGTTGTCTCCAAATGAGACCCACTGGCCTCAGGAGGTTAGTGATGGTGCCTTAGAGGTTAAAGTGGCTCAAAATTAAGAACTAACTTAAAGATGGAGAGGCTGAAGTTATATGGCTCTCAAAGCTGCATGATAAGCCTAGCTGTCAAAAAAAGTAAAGACCACGAGACCTTTCTGGGGCTGCCATAAAACTGTAGAAGGAGAGCAAATGCTCACACATGGTCCTATGCCATGTATGTGAAAGGGAATAAGCAGGAGGAAACCGAGGCAACCGAATGGTACTGTTTCACATGCTCCCTGGCCCCATCTTAGTAAATTCCTGAGTGATGAAGTTAGGGCTCTGAGTATACACAAACTGGATTCTAGGAAAGTAACTTATTCTCAGTCATGTATAAAGACGGTCTATTTTGCCCACTGTGCATCCTAAGAACTTAGAACACTGATATTGGTACATAGAACTACAAACACCTATTGAATGAATGAATGAATGAAAAGGGTTACTGTGAAGATTTAGTGCAATAATGGACATAAAAAGCTTAGGGAAGTGCCAGCTCATGCTAAGTATTATTATTCCTTCAGTGACTCCAAGGGGCCCAGCGACCAAGATGAAGGCTACAACTTCCCAAAGGGCAGTGTATGCCCTAGCCTAGAATTATTGCTTTCAAAATGTTTGCCTGTGACTCACAATTTTAAAACAACTTAAAATAATAGCCTAATACCCACACACAAATATGTGTAATCAACTGAAATAAAACTTCACTATCTTAGAACGTCAGCATAATTTAATTGACTATTTTTTCTGCTCAACAACAGAACTAAGTCTGGTTCACTGTTGTATCCCCAGCACCACATGGGCTTAATAAATGTACTTTGTACAAATGAATAGGGAGAAGGTCCTCATCTTTGACACTCTTTCATTAGTCTGTGGCACAGACTCTATATACAAAAACCTTCTTTTGTTCTGGTCATGGGAGGGCCATATATGCCCTGTCTATTCTCTGTCATCAACTGCCTATAACTTTAAGAGAGAAGGCCTAACATTGGGCATAATGAGAGCTTAGAGACATGCTACTCCTGCCCCCAAGACACCAATGTACAGCAGAGCAAAGTGGGGGTTAAGAGCTCTGGCCTTGGTGGCAGCATACCTCAGTTAGAGCCCCAGCTTTACTATTTACTACCTGTGCCAGGGGCAATCTGCTTGAGCCTCAGTTTCCTCACCTGCAAAATGGGATTAAGCAAGGTTAAGTTATACAGGTGTTAAAAGATGTTATGAGATACATGTATGTAAAACCCTTAGCTCTGCCACCTACTACGTCTACAGAATAATCTTTGTTCATTGTTTTTTTTTTTGTCCCACCTTTGCAGCTTCTGGTAAGTTCATCCTAGCCTGACAAGGGAAATTCCTGAAAATGGCTTTTTGACAGAGGTTCCACTGCAACAGATGGCAAGGAATTAAGGGCAGTTCCAAATACCATGCTCTCAAGTAGGGAGAAAAACACCCTTCTGACTGATCCAAGCTACTTATTAATCATCCAATTTAAAAATCTTTCTGCAGAGACAAGCGCCTTTGAACCTCTTACAGCCTCTCCCCTAACTTGTCCAGGACAGTATCACCAGCTTCCAGCTGCTTGCGCCTCAGCCGCTCCTTTAAATCTGGGAAGGCCCGAAGTGATGGCACATCCTCGAATCGCAGATTCTGTGCCGCCTGCAGCTGCTCTGCCAGGTTGCCCAGGGAAGCCAGGAGGGGTTCACAGTCCCTCAGAGTGATCCGCCACAAGCCCTGCTGCTCCTCCACCACAGGAAAGCACTTCTTCAGGGCCTCCTGCACAGCAAGCAAAGGTCGGTCTTGAGTCATCTTCTGTTGGAAAAAAACAAACCTGCATTAGGGTCCAAGTTGGTAGGGGAAGTACAGGGTCAAAGGTGGGACTTGTTTCCATTCTCAAGGGAGGTCCAGCTAAACCTGGGTCTCTTCACGCGCGGCTGCCTAACCCTCCTGGCACGAGGCATCGTCTTACCCTTTAGAGGAGCTCTGGGAAGGCAGGGCCCGTTCCCTACCGTGGCAAGTTTCCTGACTATCCCACGGAGAACGCTCGTCCGGGGCTAGGGCAGTTTCCTGTTTCAGACTGCGGATTCCCCGGGCCCACGCCCTGACTCCAGACCGTGCTTCTGGAGCCGGAATCCTGTCTCTTCTCCTTGAGACTGCCGGTCTTTTACCCTAAACCGGTGGGTAAAAAAACTAATGCTAAGGCATTCTAAGTTGGAGAACCCCCAGGGCCGCCACCAGGAGCCTGCAGTCTCTCTGCGCATGTCCCCACGCGGCTGCCGAGTCGCGAAAAATATGTCGTCATATGGCAATGCCTTCTGGGTGCTGTAGTCCTACTGTGGACTGGCTGCCTGATTACAGTATTCAATCAATGACATGAAATATTCAACACTTTTTAGCACTTTATTTTAAAATAAACTTTGTGTTGTTAGACTTAAGCTAATTTGCCCCACTGTACATGTTCTGAGCACATTTAAGGTGGACTGGGCTGAGCTATGTTTGGTAGGTCAGTGTAGTATACGCTTTTGACTCACATTGTTTTCCACTTAAGGTGGGTTTATTGGGATGTGCCCCCACTATAAGCTGAGGGAGACCTGTACTGTTTCCATCAGCATCACCCTTCTTTCTTGAAGACACTGAAGCCATTTTTTCTTTTATGAAGGAATTCAGTAGTGACACAAATACCTGAAACTAGGACCTGGCATCAACGAGGCTCAGAGCTCTGGATGATGCGGAGGGTGGTGCCGCTCTCTACCCTGTCCTTGCCTCCCCTACCACTTCTGTGGCTGCTGCTTCTGCCCCCAGTGTTCTTCCGCACTGCCTTTCCTGCATTCTCTCTACCTCAAAGGGGGGTCATGTGCTCTCAGCCATGACCTGGCAAGGAAAAGCCCCAACATCAGAAGCATTAAGCACAATCCTCCCAAGAGCCAGTCCTTAGACCGTAGGCATTGAGTTGGCAAACACGTCAGGGGTCGCAATACCGCCATTACTTCAGAAACACCAGAATGCAGAAGGCCAGTCTTCAACTGCATCCCCCTAGTCTCCAGATAAACACGCAGCTTCTTTATTCTTCCAGGAAGAAGGAAACATTCAATAGGATATCTGGAATAGGAAGAGAGGAAAACTGTGGCAAACCACCTCCCCAGAGAGCACAGAACACCAAATTTATAAGAGATATGGAGGCACTGTGAAGGCATCTCTCTGATGCTGGCGAAGAAGTGAGCTGCAGGGAAGGGGAGGAGGAAGCATGAAGGAGTAAACACACACCAGCACCTTGCACAAGCTCTTGGTGTTCATCTTCCGGAAGCTGGTCCCAGGCCTTGGGCAAAGCTTGGATGTTTGCCAAGTCTCCCCACTGGATGGAGGACAGGAGGTACTTTCTCTTCAGGTACCTTCCTGGAAGTTAAGGGATGCTCAAAAAGAAAATGAAATACCTTGAGGGATAAAAATAGCCTGGAGAGAGCTATAGGAAGCTGTACAGTGAGTCAGCAACCATTACGTTTACCGGGTGGCAGGATTCGCTCATGCTACAATCGTACTGAGCACCTCTTTACTCACATGGCTCTGTGCTGGAGGGACAGAAGGAGGAAACACTGCCCCTGCAACCTAGGACCTTATCACGGTGAGGAAAAAGCCAGAAACTGCAAAGAAAGAACCTAAGTGACATGAAAGATAAAACTGACGTGCGATGTCAGAGGGTGAACACATCCAGTTTAGAGGGTAGCAGGAAGATTCCAGCTGGAACAGCTGAAGCAAAGGCACAGAAATGGGGCAGCATGGAATGGATTCAGGGACAAGTAAACCTTCCAGCTTGGCTGGCAGGGAACACTGCGCAGAGTAGGAGGAAAGGTGGCTGAGAAGGCAGGCTGAGCCGGAACACAAAGAGCACTTTAGACCAGCAAGGGGATTCTGCCCTCCTAGCAAGAGCAGCCACTGAAAACTCGTATACAAGCAGCAGGACCGGAATGGACCTCCTGAAGCTATACAGAGTGAGGCCACTAACCAGGGGTAGCTCACAGGGAAAGCCAGACAGAAACCTGTCAAGACTGTTCCTGATTGAGGGCTAAGAAGCTATGGAAGCGGCAATGGGAATAGAGAAGGAAACTATGGAAACACCAGGGACAAAGAGTCAAAGGACTTGACAAGTGACCATGTCAACATTCTCAGAACAGTGCCTGGCAGGCAGCAAGTGCTGGACGACCCGAGCCAAGCCACTGCGCCTGCTCCTGATGCACTGCTGCTATCGCAACTGAAGAAGAGAAGAGAAGGCGAGGGGGAAGGTGCTGCTGAAGTCTCCAGAGAGGGGGCTGACTAGACGGGGTTGGCTCTGCAACTAAAAAGGGAGCTGAATGTGAGGGCTAACTAGAGGGGTTCGATTTTAGATCTAAGTTTGCTGTTCCATGAGCAATCCAGATGGAAGCATCAGCAGGAAATTGAAAATCAGGACCAGAAAGAAGAATAAAGGTTGGATTTGGAAGTTAGTTAAATGAAGGCAGAAACTTAAGCCAGCAAGCAGATGCGGGATTCAGGCAAGTATCAAGAGAAAAGTGCCAAAATAAACTGGTCCCTCAGCTTCTACCCTCACCCTGCACCAACCCAAGTCTTTCCTCAGAACACAGCCAGGGTGATACTGTCAAAATTATGTTAGTCCTCTACTCAAAACATTCTGGTAGCTTTCTATCTCACACAGAGTAAAAGGCAAAATCCTTCCAAAGACCTTTGAGGCCCTACAAGGTGTGGCCCTGGCCCCTGACCACAACTGGTTAGGCTCCCGCCTTCACTGTGCTCCCGCCACGCTGGCATCTTGCTATTTCTTGACTGTACAAGCATGTTCTCACCTCAGGGTCTTTGCACTTGATGTTTCTTCTGCCTGGAATGCTCTTCCCCAACATCATGTGGCTCTCTCCCTCACCCTCCTTCAGGTTTTTCCTCAAACATCACTATCTCAGTGAGGCCTGTCCTGACCACCCTATTTAAGATCACAACTTACCTCCACCCCTTACTTTCCCAGCTTTATTTTTCTCCATAACACTTATCACCACCTGGCATTCAATATATTTTCCCTTAAATGCCTATCTCCCAGCACCTACAACAATGCTTGACAGGTCATAGCTACTCAAATGATTTGAGGAAGAATCCAAATTCAGGAACCAAAGAGACCCATACTATATAGTTTCATGACCCTATGAAAACTGAAATTAAAGACTTCCTGGAACAGATCTGGACACTACCTGAAACACGTACAAAGGATACGACTTTCGATAATGTCTCTCAATATCTTGCAACCATTCCAGCATGTCAGCCACAGAGGGGCTCACAACCGAAGCTTGTAGGACAGCATCAATGCCCACCGTGTCTGCATGCTGCTCATAGATCTGAAGCACTCGCTCCACATGGCTGCTGACCGTGTCACGCACCTTGAGGAGAGTGTTTCTGGGGGAAAGAATCTGGTATTAGGCAATATCATGAGAAAGGCCTAAGACAAGGGCCCTTAACCTCGGCACACTGACATTTTGGACTGGTAACGTTTTATGGTAGAGGGCTGCCCTGGGCACTGTAGGATATAGAGCAGCATCTCTGGCCTCTACCCACAGGATGCCAGGAGCAAATCACACCCTCCCTCTCCCCAAGTTGTGACAACCAGTGAAGTCTCAGATACTGCCAAATGTCCCAACAGGAAAAGTTGTCTCCAAATGAGACCCACTGGCCTCAGGAGGTTAGTGATGGTGCCTTAGAGGTTAAAGTGGCTCAAAATTAAGAACTAACTTAAAGATGGAGAGGCTGAAGTTATATGGCTCTCAAAGCTGCATGATAAGCCTAGCTGTCAAAAAAAGTAAAGACCACGAGACCTTTCTGGGGCTGCCATAAAACTGTAGAAGGAGAGCAAATGCTCACACATGGTCCTATGCCATGTATGTGAAAGGGAATAAGCAGGAGGAAACCGAGGCAACCGAATGGTACTGTTTCACATGCTCCCTGGCCCCATCTTAGTAAATTCCTGAGTGATGAAGTTAGGGCTCTGAGTATACACAAACTGGATTCTAGGAAAGTAACTTATTCTCAGTCATGTATAAAGACGGTCTATTTTGCCCACTGTGCATCCTAAGAACTTAGAACACTGATATTGGTACATAGAACTACAAACACCTATTGAATGAAAAGGGTTACTGTGAAGATTTAGTGCAATAATGGACATAAAAAGCTTAGGGAAGTGCCAGCTCATGCTAAGTATTATTATTCCTTCAGTGACTCCGAGGGGCCCAGCCACCAAGATGAAGGCTACAACTTCCCAAAGGGCAGTGTATGCCCTAGCCTAGAATTATTGCTTTCAAAATGTTTGCCTGTGACTCACAATTTTAAAACAACTTAAAATAACAGCCTAATACCCACACACAAATATGTGTAATCAACTGAAATAAAACTTCACTATCTTAGAACGTCAGCATAATTTAATTGACTATTTTTTCTGCTCAACAACAGAACTAAGTCTGGTTCACTGTTGTATCCCCTGCACCACATGGGCTTAATAAATGTACTTTGTACAAATGAATAGGGAGAAGGTCCTCATCTTTGACACTCTTTCATTAGTCTGTGGCACAGACTCTATATACAAAAACCTTCTTTTGTTCTGGTCATGGGAGGGCCATATGTGCCCTGTCTATTCTCTGTCATCAACTGCCTATAACTTTAAGAGAGAAGGCCTAACATTGGGCATAATGAGAGCTTAGAGACACGCTACTCCTGCCCCCAAGACACCAATGTACAGCAGAGCAAAGTGGGGGTTAAGAGCTCTGGCCTTGGTGGCAGCATACCTCAGTTAGAGCCCCAGCTTTACTATTTACTACCTGTGCCAGGGGCAATCTGCTTGAGCCTCAGTTTCCTCACCTGCAAAATGGGATTAAGCAAGGTTAAGTTATACAGGTGTTAAAAGATGTTATGAGATACATGTATGTAAAACCCTTAGCTCTGCCACCTACTACGTCTACAGAATAATCTTTGTTCATTGTTTTTTTTTTTGTCCCACCTTTGCAGCTTCTGGTAAGTTCATCCTAGCCTGACAAGGGAAATTCCTGAAAATGGCTTTTTGACAGAGGTTCCACTGCAACAGATGGCAAGGAATTAAGGGCAGTTCCAAATACCATGCTCTCAAGTAGGGAGAAAAACACCCTTCTGACTGATCCAAGCTACTTATTAATCATCAAATTTAAAAATCTTTCTGCAGAGACAAGCGCCTTTGAACCTCTTACAGCCTCTCCCCTAACTTGTCCAGGACAGTATCACCAGCTTCCAGCTGCTTGCGCCTCAGCCGCTCCTTTAAATCTGGGAAGGCCCGAAGTGATGGCACATCCTCGAATCGCAGATTCTGTGCCGCCTGCAGCTGCTCTGCCAGGTTGCCCAGGGAAGCCAGGAGGGGTTCACAGTCCCTCAGAGTGATCCGCCACAAGCCCTGCTGCTCCTCCACCACAGGAAAGCACTTCTTCAGGGCCTCCTGCACAGCAAGCAAAGGTCGGTCTTGAGTCATCTTCTGTTGGAAAAAAACAAACCTGCATTAGGGTCCAAGTTGGTAGGGGAAGTACAGGGTCAAAGGTGGGACTTGTTTCCATTCTCAAGGGAGGTCCAGCTAAACCTGGGTCTCTTCACGCGGGGCTACCTAACCCTCCTGGCACGAGGCATCGTCTTACCCTTTAGAGGAGCTCTGGGAAGGCAGGGCCCGTTCCCTACCGTGGCAAGTTTCCTGACTATCCCACGGAGAACGCTCGTCCGGGGCTAGGGCAGTTTCCTGTTTCAGACTGCGGATTCCCCGGGCCCACGCCCTGACTCCAGACCGTGCTTCTGGAGCCGGAATCCTGTCTCTTCTCCTTGAGACTGCCGGTCTTTTACCCTAAACCGGTGGGTAAAAAAACTAAAGCTAAGGCATTCTAAGTTGGAGAACCCCCAGGGCCGCCACCAGGAGCCTGCAGTCTCTCTGCGCATGTCCCCACGCGGCTGCCGAGTCGCGAAAAATATGTCGTCATATGGCAATGCCTTCTGGGTGCTGTAGTCCTACTGTGGACTGGCTGCCTGATAGCGGAGCTTCCTTGTGATTGGATGCTGTGGGACCCTCCTAGGACGGCGACTTCTCATTCGTCAGCCTGTGGCAGTTTGAATTTGGTGGCGGCGGCCCCACGTCCGGTTCGCTACAGCGCCGCTACTTCTCAGCGGGAGCTGTGACGCTTTTTCTCAGCTTTTTTTTTTTTTCCTTTTGTTTTTTTCTTTTTTTTTTTTTTTTTTTTTGTTCCTTATGGTTTGGTTTCCCCTACTAGCGCCCCGGGGCGCCCTTTGGCCCTCTTCCGCAGCCTCGCGGCCCCCGTGCTTTCCCTCCCCTGTCTCCCCCGCTGACCCCAGTGGCTGGGTCCCCCGCTCCCCGCAGCCTGCACCACAGCGCCATGGCTCCGGCTAGGAAAGGCGGCAGTAGGGTGGCGAAGACCAGCTCGCTACGGAGCCGGAAGCTCGCCTCCTTTCTTAAGGACTTCGACCGTGAAGGTAAGGGGCGGAGCCCGGGTCGTGGAGACTACCTGGGGAGATCACGGGAGGCTGGCGGGTTGGGGAGCAGGCAGCACGAATCCCAGGGTTCTTTCATCTGCCGGGCGACCGGTATTCTGTTGGCTCTGTCCTCTCGCAGTGCAAGTACGGGCCAAGCAAATTCAGGCAGACAGGCAGAACCTCCTCAAGGAGATGGATAACCTGTACAACATCGAGATCCTGAGGCTTCCCAAGGCGCTGCGCGAGATGAACTGGCTCGACTACTTCGGTAAGAGTTGCTAGAGTTTCGCCAGGCCTCGGCCTGGAGCGCCTCTGTGCTTACCCGGACAGGCTTAACCTTAGTGAAGTCTTTCATGATCACTGTAGGAAAATTGAAGCCCTACTGCTTCCCTCCCTCACTGTCTCACCTCCTTGCTTTATTTTTCTCCATATCCTCATCTACCCCAGTGGGTAGGCAAAGGACCAGAAAGGAAATACTTTAGGTTTTCTTTGCCAGAAGGTTCTCTTTTCACAACCAATATTCAACTCTGCTGTTACTCAAAACAGCATAATGTGCATGGCCGTATTCCAGTCAAATGTATTTATGGGCACACTGAAATGTGAATTTCCCATGAATTTCACTTCATGAGATACTTTTTTTGGTACTTTATTCAACCATTTAAAAATGAATGAATAACTTGGTTTGTTACCAAGCTCAGGTAGAAGGAAACTCCATGTAGCAATTGCTGCATCTTGTGAAAATTGCTAGTTTAAAAATGAGCCAATCACATTACGATTAGCATGTATAGTGTGGGGGGGGCACAGGGAGGCCTGTGCAACACAGAGAAGACAAGTAGTGATTTTACAGCATCTTACTATGTTGATGGACAGTGACTGTGAACGGGGATGTGGGGGGGACTTGGTGAAGGGGGGAACCTAGTAAACATAATGTCCTTCAT